TTCTCATCCTTTGAAAACTATTCTCTTTGAAAGATGAGGAAAGCAAGGTCATGGAAAGGGAAGTGAGTCCCAGGGCATGTTTGTGGAAGAAAGCGTCAGAGGCAGGTTGAGGGAGGGTATAGCTCAGTGGTAGAGTGCATGCTTAGCATGCATGAGGTCCTGGGTTCACTTCCCAGGTCCTCCATTACAATAAATAAATACAGAAAACTCATTACTGCCCCCACCAAAGACCCTGGGAAAACAACTTTCTCTTACTGTATTTTAATTTCCTCATCTTGCAAATGTGCAGAGTTGACTACAACACCCTGACAGTCCCTTCAAGTTCTAGCATCATACATTTTTTTAATATTCATTAGCTGTGTGGCCTCAAGCAAGTAATTAAAACTCCCTGATTTTCATGACAACATAGCATATTTCATACTTAAATAGCTTTTTACAAACCATACTATCATAGATCTTGTTCAATCTTGTGTGCCAGTGATGTAGACATGGAGAAACTGAAGCTCAGAGAGGTTGAGAGAAATCTGCCCCAGATCACACCTACACACAGTTGTGAAAAGGAACCAAATCCAGGTTCTAGCCCTGCATCTCCCACACCACTCTGTCCTTCCTATCCACAGGGTTGTCACCAACCCAAGAAAGGCAAACAAGCCATGTAGAGTATTTCATAGGGGTGTCCTCAATGCTCTAAACCTCTTTGAGACCGCTCTGTCCAATATGGTAAGTGTATAAGTCTTTAAGAAAGTGCCAAACTATTTTCCAGAGTGGTTATGCCATTTTTACATTCCCACCAACAGTGTATGAGAGTTCTACTTCCTCCACACCCTCCCCATTTAGTATTGTCAATCTTGTTTAGACATTCTAATACGTGTGCAGTAGTGTCTCATGGTTTTACTTTTTATTTCCCTAATAACTAATGATGTTAAGCCTCCTTCTGATGTGATCATTGGCCATTAATATATGTTCCTTGCTGAAGTGTCTGTTCAAATCTTTTACCCATTTTAAAATTGGGTTGTGTCATTTTCTTATTGAGTTTTGAGAGTTCTTATATATTCTGGATGCAAGTCCTTTATCAGATATGTGACTTGCAAATTTCTCCCAGTCTGTAGGTTGTCTCTTCATTCCCTTACCAGCGACTTTTGAAGAATAAAAGTTCTCAGTTTTGATGGTCCAATTTATTTTTTTTCTTCTGTGAATCATGTTTTTCGCATTATATCTGATACATCTTTGCTTAACTCATGGTCACAAAGATTTCTACCAATGTTTCCTTCAAATAGTTTTATAGGTTTAAGTTTTATATTTAGGCCTTTGATCCACTTTTATTTTATTGTGGTGAAAGATACACAGATGAAGTTTACCATTAAAAAGAAACTATTTTTAAGAGCAGTTTTAGGTTTACAGCAAAATTGTGCAGAAGATACAGAAATTTCCCATTTACTGCCTGCTCCCACACACATACAGCCTCCCTCGTTATCAATGTCCCCCTCCCCAGTGGTACATTTGTTACAATCAATGAACTGACACATTATTATCACCCAAAGAACATAATTTACATTAGGGTTCACTCTTGGTGTTATACATTCCATGGGTCTGGAGGAATGTTTAATGACATGTATCCATTATCACAGCATCATAGAGTAGTTTCACTGCCCTTAAAATCCTTTGTGCTCCACCTGTTCATCCCTCCCTCTCCCCTAATCCCTGGCAACCACTGATCTTTTTATTGTCTCCATAGCTGTGCCTTTTACAGAATGTTATACATTTGGAATCATACAATAGGTAACCTTTTCATATTCTTAGGAACGCATTGTTAAGTTCCCTCCTTTTTTTTTTCATGGCTTGATAGTTGATTTCATTTTAGTGCTGAAAAATACACCATCGTCTGGACATACCAGTTTGTTTATCCATTTGCCTACTAAAGGACATCTTGGTTGTTTCCAAGTTTTCACGATGATGAATAAAGATGTTATAAATACCCATGTGCAGCTTTTTTCGTAGAAGTACATTTTAAACTCCTTTGGTAGATACCAACGAGCACGACTGCTGGATGCTGGATGGTTAAGAGTATGTTTAGTTTTGTAAGAAACTGTCAAAACTGTCTTCCAGAGTTGCTGTATCATTTTGCTTTCCCACCAGCAAAGAATAAAATTTCCTGTTGCTCCACATCATTGCCAGCATTTGTTAGTGTTCTGGAATCCGGCCATTTTAATACGTGTATAATAGTAATTTTTAACCATTATTAAGTACACAAAATACAGTGGCATTAAGTACACATCACTACGATGTATTTCCAAAACTTTTTCTTTCCTCACTCAAAATAAACCCTGTAGCCATTAGTAGTAACTCCAGCCCCCAGCCCCTGGTAACTTCTATTCTCCTTCCTGCCTCTATGAATTTGCCCATTCTAGATTCCTCATAGGGGTGGACTATTAGAATATTTGTTCTTTGTGTCTGGCTTATTTCACTTAGCATAGTATTTTCAAGGTTCATCCCTGTTGTAGCATGTATCAGGACTTTATTCCTTTTTAAGGCTAATTATCCACTTCATGTATATACCATATCTTGTTTGTCCATTTCTCCGTGGATAAATATTTGGGTCGATTTCATCTTTTGGCTATGGTAATGCTGCAATGAGCACTGGTGTAGAGGTATCAACTTGAGTTCTTGTTTTCAACTCTTCTGGGTATATACATAGGAGTACAATTGCTGGATCATATGGTAATTCCGTTCAGTTTTTGGAGAAAGCACCAAACTGTCTTCCACAGTAGACTCACTCTTTTACACTCCTACTTGCAATGTATGAGAGTTCCAATTTCTCTACGTCCTCACCAGCACTCATTTTCTATGTGATAGTAGCCATCCTAATAGGTGTGAAGGTTTGTGGTTTCGATTTGCATTTCCTGAAGATTAGTAATGCTGAGCATCTTTTCATGTGCCTATTGGCCATTTGTCCTTTGCTCATTTAAAAATTTTTTTGTTTTTAGGAAGTCTTTGTGTATTCTGCATATTAGGTCCTTGATTTGCAAATTTCTCCCATTCTGTGCGTTGTCTTCTCACCGTTGGTAGTGTCCTTTGATGCACACACAACTGACTTATTGTGTGTTGTGTACCTTGTAATTTTGCCGAATTTGTTTGCTCAACTAGCTTTCTTGTGGATTCTTTGGAATTTTCTCTATATAAGATCACCTCATCTGTGAATACTTTTTCCTTTCCAACTTGGATGCCTTTTCTTTTTCCTAATTGGTTTGGCCCACACTTCTAGTATAATGTTGAATAGCAATGATGAAAGTGAACATCGTTTTCTTGTTCCTGAATTGGGGGGGGGGGAAGCTTTGTCTTTCACAAGTGTGTCAGCTGTCAGTTTTTCATAAACACCCTTTGTCATGTTAAGGAAGCTTCCTTCTATTCTTAGTTCTCCCATGTTTTATCATGAAAGGACATTGCATTTTGTCAAATGCCTTTTCTCCATCAACTGAGCTGATCATATGGGTTTTTCTTTATCCTACTAATGTGGTGTATTACATTAACTTTCTTATACTGAACCACCCTTGCATTTCTGCATAAGTCC